TTTTTAGAACTGTTCTTGGTGCTGTTTTGGTGGAGGAAGGTTGAATGCTTGGATGTACAACCTCTAACCCTACAGAAGCTTTCTTTCTGGCATGAACGAACGAAGTGACCGGGGAAGAGACAATTAGAACAAAGCTGCCTTTCTCGGATTAGCTTTTGCCTTTCTTCTAAGGACTGCTTACGAAACTTATCGCACCGCGGGAACCAATGATCGGCGCTACACAAAGGACACTCTGGTTTCTTGTTTTCTGACTGGCTATCTTCTTGCTTTCCGAGAGATGAGAACGTGTCAGCCTTAGGACCTCTCGTCCTTTGTTTGATAGGGAGCTGCTTCGTCTTGCCTTCGCTAGAGACGTTTCCAAAGATCGGGTGAGATGCTGCTCTTGCCTTGGCAGTTACAAACTTCATTATATCGGCCACGGTGACATCTCTCGCTTCCCTCTCTACAATCTGGTCGACCGTATCTCGCCACTTAACTCTCATAGAATAAGGAAGCCTGTCTATAATCTTCTTCAGGTTGTCTGGGTTATCGAGCTTATTTAGGTAGCCGATTTCCTTCAACGTATTAACGCAGCTAGTTAGTTGAATGGAAAACTGTTGTAAAGCTGGTCCATCGTCAGCTCTGATTGTTGGGCCATCTACCAGCCTTTTTACGTGTGCGGCGGCAATCTTATAATTCTGCCCATAGCGTTCTTGAAGCAGTCTCCTTGCCTCTGTATATCCTTCTTCTTCGCGCATGGAGAGACAGCTTTTCATTAATTCTTGTACGACTCCAGAAGTATACTGTACAAGATAGTAGAGACGTGCACTTGAACTCAAGGTTTTTCTTTCTACGATGTGTTCAAAGGCGCGCACAAAGTCACAATAGTCGATAGGGTCGCCGCTGAACACTTGCAGACTCGGCTGCGGTAAGGTGAGCGCTAACACACCTTGCTGTTGCTGCTGAATAAGCTGCTGGATGGCTTGATTTTGACGCTCGTGGTTTTCTATCAGGCGCTGGAATGACTCATCTTGGAGGCTATTTGCACGATAATAATCTGGAGAAACGTGTTGCTGAACTGGACTGGTTGTGGGATACCATTTGTGAGCGCGAGGATTCAGAGAACGCTTCAGTGATATTGACTCATCGTTATGCTTATTGAGATGTTCACGCGAAGGAGTAGCTGCTGGGAAGGTCTGTTTAGGAGTTGGGTTGCCTGTGGTGCTTCCCACTCGCGGAGTAGAGGCGATCTTGGCTTGTGGAGTTAGCTGGGGTGAATGGTCATTTGGATCCCTTACGTTTGAGCGGGAACTGATCTCTCGACGCTCGATTGCTTCATTTTCTTCATAAGCTTTCCTTTCGGCCTCAGCCTCGGCTATCTCAGCTTCAAGCTCTATCTGTGCCTTTCTTTGCTGGAGTCTCATTTCTTCGATTTGAAGCTCGTGCAGGTTTTGGAGGGCAGCTGCCCGAGCCTCAAGTGCTGCCTTTCTCGCGGCCGCCTTAGCCTTTGAGCTGGCTGAACTGCTGGCGACGGAACGCGTATGAAAGGATACGCGTGACCCAACAGTGCTAACGGAATCGCGTGGTCGAACGTTTATTGGCGTTACTGAAGTTTGAATTGCTGGCTTGTTAAGCCATGAAGTGATTTCCTGTTCCAGTTCTGATACGATTTCGAGCACTGAATTGTAATATCGTGAGGACTCCTCCTGTTCTGACTCAGTTTTTATGAGACCGTGATAAGCCTCGTGCGCAACCTGAAATTCCTGAAGGACTTGCTGCAATTCCTCGCGAACTTCGTTAAGTGCCTCGATGTTTTCGCATTCTGCCATTAACTCGTTCAGTTTGTTTACCTTTTGAGATACATGCGCCTCGGCGGAACTACGAACCAATTTTAATTGATCAATTAATTTGCCATTTCCGGAAGCCATCTTGCTAATCTGATTACTTGTCAATTTAGCGGGACAAGCTGACGACTGACAGGTCTAAAAACGTAACGCGGATATGACGTGCGTGACGTGACAGATTCTTGGAATTCCTTCACGGTTGGAAGATTCGTGAAAGGAGGATGTGCATCAAATTCGAACAAAATGTAATTTACAAGGACAGAATACCAGAACCAAAAATCCAAGTAAACCACTTAACACGGTGCGCGACATAAAACGAACTCGACGAGAAGTGAAGGAAGTAACATGAACAGATTTATTGAACCAGAGATCAATGTTCCTAGCACAGAGGTCACAACTTGATACAGAAGAATCGACGGGGTCGATTGACAAGACAAAAGGTCCTTAAGTTGTGAAATCGGTACAAGTCGTACAAAGTCGGTTCGAACTGAAAACGATAAAATCGAACGAAAACTTAGCTAAGAATACATAGAGTGCAAATATATCTGACTAAAAACCGATGATACCAAATAGCGAACGAGAACTAAATAACACTAGAAAATACATTAAATCAGCCTATAAAGTTATTAAAGTAATACGGCGATAAAACTGCTGGTATCAATCACTCAGCATACTCATGTTGAAGAGTAGCGCATAAGACCCTTAAAACCACTGTAGCTCAATGATGACAAGACTAAATAGATTCCTCACATAAACAGAAAAGATTACAACAACGATGTTGCAAGTCGATAACCAAAACTAAGCTCTATTATTCCTATAATGACATCGATGCTGAAAAAACTAAAAAGAAAGGGAAAACTATACTCACTTTGGTTTACACACACACCGGTGCTTTCTTGAATCAAAAGCTAAGCTGAACTTGATAGTTGATGAGCACGAGTGTAGATAGAAATGAAGCCCCAATGGCTGACAGAAGTTAACACCATGAAGTCTACACTAGAACTGAACTAACTAAGATGAAAACGCTAAATTTGTAATAAAGAAAACGTGCTTGAAAACGATCTAGAAATTATTACGTATTTCCCAGGCGGACATAACAAAAAAGGGCTGGGAAAGTAGCCGTGGGCTTATCAATAAAAATCATCATTTATGTAGGCGATAATCGATTTATAATAACTACCGTAAGCACGTTCATGCACCAATAAGGGATAACGAAAAGAAATCACGTTTCAAAACCAACAACGGCTACTTGGCACCTTCAAGGCTGTACGTTCATCCTTTTTCTTAGCTTGACTTCTTGTAGTTACTGCACAGGCCTCTTGCCAGCTGGGGTTTGGATTTTGTGCGTCTCTGGCATCAGGTACGTTGCCAATAATAAGGTCGTAGATAGGATCTGAAAGGCACTGCGCTTCTACGTGGCCCTTAAGATAAGGTGTATCGACATAAATTCTTGCTATGGGCACCTTCCTTGCAGTGTTGTCAATAAGCAACATAACGTTAAAGTCTCCGGTGAACTGATCCTCGCCGACAAGGTCCTTCTTGACTACTACTCCACTGCAACCAGTATCTCTTAAAACGTCAACAGTCTTCTCTCCAACTCTACCTTTTACAACAGGCATCTTACTTCTTACTCCAGTTAAGGGTTCAACAGAGGCATTACTGACTTAACCAAACAGCCAGCACTAACTTGACCAAGTTGCACAGGCTTACCATCCTTACCTTGGCCTCCTGACTTTCGTCCACCTGATCGACAGTTCCTCGCTTCCTGACCTTGCTTGCCACACAGGAAACACCTTTTAGCTAGAGTTGGGCAGTTGATAGCTTTGTGTCCGCGGGCATTACACTTGTAACACTGGAGGGCTGTCGTATCACTCTGTGCAGTCTTTGTTTCCTCCACCTTAGGCTGTACTTGTGGCTTCTTGCTCGCAGAGCTGAAGAGATGCTTCCCGTGTGCTTCTAAGTACTGATCGGCAATCTTTGCTATCTGAGCAACCGTTTCCGGAGCTCTTTCACGGAGGTGAATAGCTAACTCTTTTGGACAAGAATCGATGAACTGTTCTTTCACTATTAAATCTTTCAGGCCTTCAAAAGAACGTTCAGTGTTCGACAGCTCTAACCAACGTAGCAAGTATCTATCCAGTCTCACTATGAACTGTTCAGGACTCTCGTCAACTTCCAGCTTTGATGCTCTAAATTTGCGACGATAGCCGTCCTCTGTAAGGTCATATCTCTTCATCAAAGCTAACTTCACTCGGTCATAATCTTGGGCTGCTTCCTCAGATATTCGCGAATAAACTTCTAGGGCACGTCCAGACAAAAGAGCACTAAGTTTCGAAGCCCATCCTGTCTTCTCCGATTTAGCTGTAGTTGCAAATCTCTCAAATCGTCGTAGGTAAGCATCCAAGTCGTCCTTGCCATCAACAAATGAGGGAAGCTTGGGTGCCTTGGCCCTATCCTCTCTCACTTCAGCACGTTCGGTATCGTTACGGCCTTGTGCTAGACGAGCGAGCTCTAGTTCATGCTCTCTCTTAGCGGCTTCAATAGCCTCTTTCTGCTTCAACAGGTCTGCTTCCAGTTCTAATTTCCTCAGTTCGCGTTCTTGCCGCCTAGTTTCCCTTTCTTCGTCTTCTCTTCTACGCCTTTCCTCTTTCTCTTCTTCTTCCTTTCTTCTGTCTTCCTCAAGTATTCGACGTCTCTCTTCTATCTGCCTACGTTTTTCTTCTTTCTCTTCCTCTTCCCTCCTTCTTTCTTCCTCAAGTTTTCGACGTTTTTCTTCTTTTTCCTCTTCTTCCCTCCTTCTTTCTTCTTCTAACTTTTGTTGTTTTTCTACAAACTCGAGCAGCTTTTCTCCTTCCAATCCGAATTCTTTCCCTATCTGCAAAAGCTTTTCCATTTCCACTGCAGTAGTTCACAGCAAACACACTCGATACACTTCCTTGTAACAGTTCTTCTCACTTCTCTGTATGCCCCTTTTTCTTGAACTGTCCTTTCCTGGTTACTGTAGTCAGCAAACAATTGAATTCCTCTCCCGGACAGGCCCCCAATGTTACGCGGGTAATCTTTTAGAGGACTGGTAGCTTGCAAACCAAACTGAACGCAGGGTTGTCGGAACAGTAACAAGGAGATTTATTCCAAGAATGAACGTAGTTTCCATTGAGTAAAACTCCACAACAGCACTCAACTCGATAAACTTACACGGCCACCGCCAACTTCACTTAATCTTGATAAACTTACACGGCCTCCGCCAACTTGAATAAACACTGCTTCCGTCACACTTGAGTAAACACGACTAACGTCGAACTCTTCTCGCTTGTGAAAACTAGTTAAAACTTAACTCGGACTCGCCTACTTATATACTTTTACAATAAGATTCTAGAACTTTCTAAATAGCCTAATTATAGAAAGATTACAAAATATACCGCTTTTAGAAAGGCTTACACGAGATCCTAAAATAAACAAACTATGAACTCTCGCGAAGCTTCTAGAAAGTCACGCTAGTCACGCAATACAATTTTTCGTAACAATCATATATTCTAGCTTTAATTATAGTTATAGATATGAAATAAATCTTATCCGGATAATGTACGCAGCTAATTCATCGATTCTGTACGGCAAAGAAAAAAACTGTCCGGATACTGGGCACCTGAAATCAGTACTTAGTGAATGTTTCTTACCTCCGTTATTCCAAACAAATCGAATTTCACGAAGAATTAATAAACTTTCTGAGAACCTGACTTCTTGAAGTATCTTCACGTTAAATATAAAACAGTCTTTTTGAAAATACCACATATTACCTACCCTTTTCTGAGCAGCACTAATTTTACTGCGCAGTAAACAGGGTAAATATTAGCCACGAAAAGTGTACTCACCTGAACAGTACGGCGTCTTCTGCGACTGTTTCGCAAGCTTTAAACTCGCCAAAACTTTCATCTCAAAGGTGAAATGTTCAGCTTTCATTCGAAACCCTTCGTTTGCCGAGAAATGAAAAGGGCGCCTCAAAAATTGAGTTTTTGTTTTAAGTGTCCGGATACTGGGCAACATACTGTAATGACTTAATTTAAAACTCTGGACTGCCTGCAAGAGTTAGTGACCGCATCTGAGCCCGAAAAAATGTTTTTGTGAAATCGTTATTGACACAGTGATCGCTATTTTTATTATTTATACTCTTCTTAATGTTATATAGTGCTTAATTCTTACTCCAAATATTTCTGTAAATTATGTACATATTTTTCTAAAGTTGAATGAAATTATTAATTATTATTTAAGATTAAAAAAAATTATGATTATTATTATGATTATGATTATGATTATGATTATGATTATGATTATGATTATGATTATTATTGTCATAATTATGAAACTGAAGAGTAATAAAAGATTAAAGAGTAAAACACACAAAAGAGACACCACTTCCCGGCCGACAGAATGCCATTTCTCACTCCTGAAAAATATATGCGAGGGAAAGCTAAAAGTGGTGTCGAAAATGAGACACGTTGGAATGAGTCGCAATTAGGACAAATACACAGATGTTAACTAACACTGAATTAATAAGCACCCCATCATCGTTAAATATCATTAGTTCACTAGTTTTTCTTATGGCCACCTTGAATTATCTCGGTAAGAGGCTAGATAGGGACTAATCGGATTGGAGTCTATACCACGTGAATACCACACTTGAATTATCTAACTTAGCTCCAACCTTTTCGTCCCATTAAAGATATCCTTTTTTCTACGTTGTTGAGCTAAATATTTTGTTACCGGTGACAAATCATTGTCTTAAGTGAGTGACATTTAAGAAATTCTCAGATACTCTATTATGAAATGTCAGTGACAGGGTAATTCATAGACGGAATATGCCACAAATCGGATACCTGTAATTAATATATTTGCATTAGGAAATTGATTCATTATGATTTTTACTTAAGTTTTTTTTTATTATGTTTTCTCAGAGTTACATGTACATTCAGATGTTTTCAAATAAGACAAAGAGATACTGAACGGTTCAAGTATTCCTGTTACGATTAACGAACTTTCAAGTGGTACTCGTTTAGTAGGCTTAAAATGTTAATGAAAACGTTTCGTTTCCAGAGAGAGTGAAGCAAACAAAAGCTAAACCTTAAATGTCAATTAGAAAGAGAAATTTAATTAATACTTCTGTACTTATTCTTAAAAGGAAGAAAACAATTGAGAGATATTTCTGCTCTTTGCACAAACGAAAGGTAAGTTAAGAAATAGGTATTCCCTGCCTTAAGAATAATCCGATATTACTCCTTAACTCATCATTAAGCGCTATTTGACGGATGATTTCTTGACTGTATTCTACATTAGCTCTTTTTTGTATATAAACTGAGCATTCATTTGACCGTCACAGAGAGCTGACAGAGCTGGGCAAATTCGTAATGCAAAGTATTTTTGAAGAAAATAGTCAACAGCAGTACTGGCGAATGACCATTACACGACCAGACATTTTCAGAGAAAAATTATCCTTCGTGGTCTGACTTAAGGTACAACCTATTTATGATCAGTGTGATATGTGGTCTGACAATTAGCACTGTGAATAACAAATGGTCGTGAGGGGAAAACGGATCTCGGAAACTTTTTTTAAGAAGAATATCAATTTTGTTTAGTCCTAGAAATCTTCCTGTTCAATTCGAAAATACTATTTTTGTCTGAAAAAAGTTCAATCCTTTCTACCAGTTTTCATTTCCATAAATAATTTTTTCCCAGTAATGAGTTGGTATAAAACTTTCTTTCCATACATTAAACGTAGTCTTTTCCTGTCGAGACAGAAAGTGCTAACCACTTGTTATCCTATTAAACTTCAAGAAGAATTTTTTCCTTGCCCACAGAAACGAAAGTCATTTGCTCGCTGATGCAAATTACGCATGCAGCTCTCGGAGTTATTAAGAGATCTATTGTTACATAAGATAACAGTGCTTAAATATATTTTTTTAAGAGGTGTTTCATTAATAAACCACATTAATTTTTGGCTTTGATATAGCAAGTTTTTAAAAATGATAAAATCTTTGCTGTATATTTTTACCCTCTATTTTCTCCAAAAAAATAATAAAATAAAACAGCAACCGGGAGAGCAACTTAGAAAGCAGCTTAATATGTGATTCTGAAGGGAAGGAAATATTGAGGTAATATTGAAGACCAGCTGATGACCAAAGAAAAACTGAGACAAAAATTACAAGACATTTCTCCTGATCTTTGTTTATAATTTGACATAAAAATGTATCTTTCGTTTGCCAGTTACGAAGAGCTCATTAAGAAGAAATGCTGCAAAGTCAGCTTTTAATTTCAAGGCAATAAACAAAAGCTCTTTAACTGATTGAAAACGACCTCTTTGAAAAAAAAATCGACTAATCACCCAAACACCAGGCAAGTTATCGTTTTGTTTGATTGACAGTCATGTGGTTTGCAATTTACATTTGCATTTTTTTGTAAGCATCGCCCATATCTAATGGTAGACACATTTTATTAGAGAACTCATGTTTTATTGCATAATTTGAAAGTGCGGTACTTAAGATACCTCCTTTGGGTTATGGATACAACGCCTATAATTAAGTCTTCTTTTTAGTTTGCTTGGTACCATATTTGACCAAGTAACTATAAGGAATGGGAGAAAATTAATAAAAGGAACCCTTAATTTTCTTACTAAATAAATCAAATAGAATCCTATGAGAAAACAGTTATAAGGTAATCGTAATATTACTTAACACTACAATCTCGTGGAAATACAGCAGTTAAGATTCCCTTGACAAGGAAATAGAAGTAAAATGCTGGAATGAGCAACCACATTATAGTCAGTCTTTTTCGAGCTGCTGGAAGCTTAAGGTAATCCTGGAGTGGGAGTCGTGAGATGCTTCTTTGCGACAGAAAATTATACCAAACTTGGTGTGCTGCAAACCTGTTATCCCGCTTGTTCGCGCGTGAGCTTGCTGATCACTTTAAGTGTAAGTTTATTGTACGATTGCATTTATGGTCCAATGCAAAAATAATCAATATATGTCAGATACTATATAATTTATAGTACCCCGAGGAATACTTATATCTACTGGTTAATTATCATGGAACAGATTGACTTACGTTCTAAATCGATTTTGATCCCTTCTTCAATATTTGTCAAATTCTCTCCAAAAACAATCTTTGAGAAAACAGAGCCAACGATAAACGATTTTAAAATACTCCACATGATTTAAAGCCAGTACTTTTGCTTACGGGACTTCTTTACGAGTCAAAAAGTGTTTCTTTTACGTCGTCAGTTTGCAACCATAAAGACACATTTGTGGTGGGAGCATATACAATCAATCACCTTTAATTTTTTATGACTTTACTAGTAAAGCACTGATTAAAATTGGGTTTCTCAGGGAGCAAAAACCCCTAGGCATCCTGATCTTATCATGAACCTCTTGATCATTCCTTTTCAACATATATCACTTGTAGGCACGGTAAGGTTTAGCAAAAAAAGAACTGTTCAAAGCATATCTGAGATGAATCACGTCAGGCTTTAAATGAAAATTAAAACAGGACGAATGATGAATTATATTAAATGGTTTTTACACGTATATATTTTGGTTTTTAAGAAGTTTTTCCTAGTCTGATAAATACGCTGCTGACAGTTCTGTTTATTTTGAAATTCTTCAGAGCTAACACTTACTGTTTTAATTCATCCGACTGGAAAGGACGTAGCTGGTTAGGTACTTTGATTAGCACAAAAAAAAAAAATTGGCAAGTAAGTGGTCAGCGCTCGGCTAAGAAGAGGGAGGATAGCCTTTCTGATGACTCCAATTGCAATAACTTATGACACTGAATCTAATAGATGTAACAATATACATAGGGTTGGCGATACTTACCAAATACCATTTTGGCTACACCATCTTTGTATAGGTTGGCATAGGCACCTAAAAATTATGAGGAAAAAAAAAATTTTTCGGCCGTATAAACACTACTTGTCAACTACGCTTTTTAATGTTTATGTCAATCAAATGTGTCAAGCCTACTAAACGAACAGAAGCTCATTTCTGTTAGAGTCAGTGTCAAACAAATATATTCCAATTGATAATATTTTGTTTATCAAACACGAGCAATCCGTTCAAAATATTACAACTGTAAATAACGCTTAAGCAAACTGCTCAATTTAAAAAATCCCAATTGTGTAAAATCAATGAGATGCAAAAAATTATGACCTCCGCAAATTGTAAACATTTTGGACCCAATTATAAGCAAAGCAGCCTTTTATGATGGACTTCAAAGTTGAGCATATCTTTCTTTCCTTTTGCTTTTTTTTTTTCAGCATGATGATAATAAATTCTATGCCAAAGCCACCCTCCCAAGCCTTGAAAAAGAAAATACATTTCATAAAGCAATAGTTACAACAAAGCGCTAAAGAGGGTACAATATGCTAGTTAAAGTAAGCAGAACGAAAAGGAGAGTTTCTGCATATTATCAAATAAGAAATGTTTGTACACCGGTTTTCAGAAAGGTTTTCCCGAGAAAGATATGTAGATAGGTAGAAGCACTTTAACATGTAATACCTGGATATTTCACTCTTTGACCATCTTCATTTTCCTGACAAACTCTTAGGTTTGTCAAACCTGTATTTAACGGTCAACCTGTAATAAGCAGTCAGTTGTTGACAGTTGTCTATTCCTGAAGGGTGACTGTTTAATGTAGGTTCTGGTTAGTTACGTTATATAATGCCTATTTCAGAATACTACAAGCTTCCTCAGTACAATAAGCAATTAAAATGAATGTGTTACTTAATGTTTTAAGTAGGTTTTATATTCAGAGGACTACGACACTTTGGTTATGTATATTTATGTTTATAGTTTTTCTAGGTGTATCAATCTAGAAACTTCCTACTTTCACATTAAAAACCATCAGAAATAACATTTATCTTATCTCTGTCAATTCAGGTCTAAAACTAGATATATTCGACAACAATACATAGTGCTTTCAATAGTCAAAGGCACTTGAATGCGGATAAATATAAGACAGTACAGTTGCAACGTAATTCTGGCTTGATCAAACCATGATACAACGATTCTTGGAGACCATGCTACAATGAATTGTGACATGATTAGGTTAACACCATTATTCCCACTTTGTTAAAAGAAGATTTTCAGTGTAAAGCTGTATGTTTCGAAAGACAGACTTCCTAGTCGGGCAGGAACTCTATATCGAAAAGGAGAGAGCTGGTATGTGGTGCAATGCTAAAAAAAATTAACGGCCGACAGATAGGAATATAAGCAATTTGCAACCTCACTGAAATTGTCCTTATATATTATTTATACTACTAAATGAGAAATTTCTGCAATTTGATTAGCTTACAGCAGTGGTATTGCAGCTTAATTTGAAATACCTACATGTGAAAATTACAAACCTTTAGCGGGTAGTAGTATAAACAAATAATAGCATGATTTGTACGGGATATTTTGAATAAAATACCACTCGTGATATTTCAAAATTGTCTCAAATTTCACTGGCCTAACGGCTCGTGAAATTACGTATAACTTTTTCGAAATATCACTTGTGGTATTTATGCCAAATATCACTACAAATCATGCTATTACCTATACTAACTGAAGAACTATATTACGAAATTAACAAAGTATATGGCTTGATAAAGTTGATAAAGTAAAGTCGATCCAAGATTTAACAGTGGTTGTGTGGATCAGGGTGGCTGTGAACTAATCCAATCGATAAATTTCTTGAATCAAGCAATGAGCACGATCACTACGCTCCCCGGCTTGAAGTGCAAGTTAAGGTTTCTTTCGGCAAAGAATTCCAATTTCAATCCTCTTTGGTCCACTATTTTGTTTGTGAAAAAAGTAGCTCCCAGCCCGATGTGACTCCATTTTCTATAAAAGCGACAACGATAGCGGTTTATATTTTAAAGAACATGAACGATTTGATAGCCGCGATTTAACACAAATGAGTTTCCAAATGTAACAGACATGACTGAATCAGCACTAATGTGACAGCATGGGACCACAAAGTGACAAAGTCCACCCGCAAACAAACAATTGCAGTAATGTTATGGATTAAACGATATAATTATAATACAAGCAAATTTCTATACCGATTACGAATTTGATTGACTGTCGCAGTGCAACACACTGAATACTTCTTCAGTGGCAAACCGACTAAATGAAGGCACTGTAACGTTTAAACAAGTGCAGTGACACCTATTATTGAGGGGCGGGTAGCATCTTAGGCATCCTTGGAGACCAAGGGGCAGCTGGTCGGGACCATACAAAATTCGTGGTGAAAGTTTACTATAAGATCGAGAACAGCCCCTGGGCACTTACTCTTACCGAACCAGTTTCAGAAGCGTTTGAATTGCCTACTTCTGATTGGCCAGATAAAATATTTTTCTGGCAAATGAGGGGCAGCCAGGTGATTCTGGTGTGTTCTTACACGACGTAGTTTTCCTCTTCGATCGACATGGTTGCGTAGGGAGTTCAACGGGACAGTTTCTCGAGGAACGTTTTAGAAGAAAATGTTAACGAAGCCGAAAAAGTTTCAGAAGTCGTGTAAAGAACATGGAGATGTAAAATGTAAGCTTCAGGCGTTGTATATTACAAATAGTGAGCAAAGGTGTGGAAAGTGAAGGTCATGCATCGCGTATCAGCAATAAAATTAAAAATTCACAATACCTTAGACAGATCCGCCGTAAAAATTCATGGGACATCGTTTGTTTCTTGTAGCCGTGCTAAAGCTTGTAACTTGTAAGGCTTTGTTCGAATTTTGTTCGGAAACTTTCCACGAGGAACTTTTCCCCGTTGAACATGCTACGCAACTGTGGCGATCAATGGGCAAAACTAAGTCGTGTAAGAAATCACCAGAGTCACCAGGCTGCTCCTTTTCACTGATTGATTTTTTTCTGGCCAATCAGGAGCAGGGAATTCAAATGGCTGTAAGACCCGGTTCAGACGCCGAACTTGATTCGAATTAAGGTGGCTCAGTAATTAATACAAGAGCATTTAGCTATGACAAATTTTCCGTCATAACTTTTTCAACTTTAACGTGATGGCTGCGAAACTTTGCAAAGAACAACAGATATCATTCGGCAATAATACGAAATATTCCGATTTCATTGATGGTAAATATTTATTGAGAAATTAGCGCTTAAAAGGACCCTACTGTTCAAAGAAAATCGCGTCTATTAAAAAATTTTGCTGATATTTTTTACTGAAATTTCTGGTATCGGCTTTTATTGATATAATAAATATGCCAGAGGAATTTCAGAAAAATCGTTGGAGCAGAAGTCCGTAACTAAAAGTCGCTCAAAATTCAGCTGTGAAATTGTTTTGGAATTTCAAAAATAAATTACTATCAGGTAGAAGGAGCCACCAGTTTGAATTTTCGGGACAAGTAAATTCAACGTTTGTTAATTCTTAAAACAAAAGCCGATTGCCTATCGTGCTATTCTTTAAAAGGTACTTTTCAGTTTTAGAAGCACTATAAATTGCTCCAAACCTTGCTCTGAAGTAGAATTACTTGTTCTTCGACAGTTTTAAAACATACCTTGGCAGTTTTGGCTCAAACTCCTGCTACATACATTTTGATGTATTGCAATGCATTTTCAACGACTTTTACTGCTGTTCGTTGCTTCCAGTTCAGGAAAAAAGTGTTGAGATTGGACGCTACCTCGTATCAGAGCTCAGATAGAACTGTCCAGCACCTTTTACGAGCGGCAGTTCTGCGAGGAATTCGCACCTCACCCAGGGGGGACGAACGACAATGATGACCATGCCTGCGAACCGAATGACATCACAGTGCAAAATAAAATTATCGCAAAAATACTGCCCGTGAATAAATTTACAACTCCAAAATTTTTATCACTCCTTCCTTCAATGAATGGGTATTTTTTTCTTGATTATTGTGTTTTGCTCTGTAATACATGTTTATACAGATCGGTTCACAGACATGGGCATCATTGTCACTCGTCCCCCCTGGCTGAGGTGCGAATTCCTCGCAGAGCTGCCGCTCGTGCTCATTTTCTGGTCATAAACAAAGGTGCTCGACAGTTCTATCTGAGCTTTGATACAAGGTAGCTTACAACGCCAATACCTTTTTCCTAAATTGGAAAAAAAGTACAGCAGGAAAAGCCGTTGAGGATGCATTGCAATACATCAAAATGTATGTAGCAGGAGTGTGAACCAAAACTGCCAAGGGATATTTTAAAAATGTCGAGGAACAAGTCAGTCGACGTCAGAGCAAAGTTTGGAGCAATTTATAGTGCTTCTAAAACTGAAAAGTACCTTTTAAAGAATAGCACGATAGGCAATCGGCTTCTGTTTTCAGAATTAGCAAACACTGAATTTACTTGTCCCGAAAATTGAAACTGGTGTCTCCTTCTTCCTGATAGTAATTTATTTTTGAAATTCCAAAACAATTTCACAGCTGAATTTTGAGCGACTTTTAGTTACGGACTTCTGCTCCAATGATTTTTCTGAACTGGCATATTTATTATATCAATTAAAGCCGATACCAGAAATTTCAGTAAAAAATATCCGCAACATTTTTTACTAGACGCGATTTTCTTTGAATATTACGGTCCTTTTAAACGCTAATTTCTCAAGAAATATTTACCTTCAATGAAATCGGAATATTTCCTATTATCGCCGAATGATGTCTGTTGTTCTTTGCAACGTTTCGCAGCCACCGCGTTAAAATCGAAAAAGTTATGACGGAAAATTTGTCACAGCTAAATGCTCTTGTATTAATTACGGAGCCACCTTAAGGCCGACCCAACTTATTTAGATCGGCTGAATTGATTCAGACGCCGATCTTAATTGCAGCTGAACTAAGTTCAAAAGGCGAAAAATGCTTTTTTGGGTCAAACTGCTTGCGAGATACGTTATAATAATTTATGCATAGGGTTCGGTACGTGAAAAGTTTGGCGTCTAAATCGAAGCCGTTCCAAAGACAAGGAAGCATCTCAGGAGGTTGCTCTAAAAATTGCTTCAATAATCAATATTAAATCTAATGGCAGTCAAGGGTTGTTTCAGCGTCTTGTCTTAGATATATAATTCAGGCGTTCAAAACATTATATTCTGAAAAATATTGCTTTAATAAAACCAATTTAAAATCCAACCAATAAAAAAATTGACTCTAAAAGCTTTTCGACATATCTATAAAATTATAGTTTTGAACCTTTAAAGTTTAAAGGCAGTTTAAAATGCTGACCTTGACACTTTTCGTTTGTTTTGTCTGCTATCACCCAACACGTCTAGGTTAGCTTTGCCAGGGACTGAAATGTCACTGGTACGCATGTATTTTATTTGCTTTTAGAACCATTTCAGTGGTATTCTGCTACGAAGTTGGATGGATTTCACTTACCAAGGAAATGAACGTCGCATTGAGTTTGAAACTGAGTCCGGGTGAGTTAAAACATGCGAATCTAATTCTTCATTTTCCTCGCATTCAGGATCAATAGTCGTAGTAGTTGCCGGTTGCCAAAGCTTTACTACAAAAAAGCATTTAATAATAATAAAAAAAAGGTTGCAAAATACTTGGAGTCCAGGGAATAGAGCTGTAAATGTGATTGCCTTAGTATAGTGTCCCAAAAAAAGTCCTACTGAACCGAATTATTATTGAGCTAAGAGAACTATGAATAATTAGTGTAATATTCTTCTAATGTGACGAATCACTTTTTGGTGCCATATCTTTTGGTGAGTTTTTCAGAATAATTTTAGCCTTTAGCCATATTATCCAACCTTCAGAGACATACTGCGACATATGCAATTACAATGGGTTTTACAGAAAGCTTTTTTTGACAATGAACAGTTTATAACACCGATAATGTGTGACAAATTGTAGCGAATTATTATTACACGTATCATTAAAGATGGCATGGGTTAGCTGCATATTCACCTGCAGTTATTCACTATCACACCCATTTTCTTTTAACTATAGTTACACATGTAGGAGGGTCAAAGAGGGTCAAAACGAGACCTTGAAACATTGGCTACCGTTCCTTAACAACACCAACCCCATTTAAATCCCAGACAGAGCACTGGTCTCAAATTTACTCCGACCAAAAGGAGATTAACTACATCTCACCTTCCAATATTAGAGCCAGTGTTGAAACCCGCCCTCCCAAGCTATAGAATTTACTCCGATTCTTTCCCCCCTTCCATCCCTGACATTTTATAGGCCTCTCCCCCGCTCCTCCAGCCGCGCTAGGTTCTGCGATACCCGTAGTTCTAGTTAAGTATGGGCGGAAAAAGTCGAATAAAAAACGCACGCATTACCTTTAGGGACTGCCTTTCAATTATTGGGAGAGGCGTTTCAATTATTGGGAGAGGGAAGTTGTAAAACGTGAGGCGGGGGCAGAGGGAAAAACTTAAAACACTAAGAGAGGGGGAGGGCATTGTCTAAATTATTCAGTGGGAAGAGGTGGATGATTTCTAATTTTAACAACAGTTTGTTACATGTTCAAATATCGAAAACACGCATAAAGAAAATATTTAAAAATTAAATTTGCGTTAAAGCGTTCTCACTGTTTAAGGTCATATTTACGGTCTATTCCTCCTTTCGTCTCTTGGTTTTTCTTTAACCCTATACCAACTCTCTCATAGCGACCACTTCATCCATAGAAACAGGCGACGGGAAACAGTTTCAATGACTAAATATGGTCTAAAATAACGATCTGGAACATTATTTTTGGAATTCAATTGACGCGAAGACACGTTTTAGCTTTTTCAAAGATAGCAAACAGTGTGACATAGCCCCTTTAAAATGTCTGTTACTGGATAATGTCAGAGTTATCCTGGTAATGGCAAGACAGCCATGTCTGTAATTTACCCGTCATGTCACTGAAGAGGCTATCATGATGCTTTGCTATCATGTTTTTAAGGTGGCTCCGTAATTAATACAAGAGCATTTAGCTGTGACAAATTTTCCGTCATAACTTTTTGGTTTTTAACGCGATGACTGCGAAACTTTGCAAATAACAACAGATATCATTCGGCAATAATACGAAATATTCCGATTTCATTGATGGTAAATATTTCTTGAGAAATGAACGCTTAAAAGGACCCTACTGTTCAAAGAAAATCGCCTCGAATGAAAAAATTTGCTGATATTTTTTACTGAAATTTCTGGTATCGGCTTTTATTGATATAATAAATATGCCAGAGGAATGTCAGAAAAATCGTTGGAGCAGAAGTCCGTAACTAAAAGTCGCTCAAAATTCAGCAGTGAAATTGTTTTGGAATTTCAAAAATAAATTACTATCAGGTAGAAGGAGCCACCAGTTTGAAGTTTCGGGACAAGTAAATTCAACGTTTGTTAATTCTTAAAACAAAAGCCGATTGCCTATCGTGCTATTCTTTAAAAGGTACTTTTTAGTTTTAGAAGCACTTTAAATTGCTCCAAACCTTGCTCTGAAGTAGAATGACTTGTTCTTCGACAGTTTTAAAATATCCCTTGGCAGTTTTGACTCAAACTCTTGCTGGATACATTTTGATGTATTGCAATGCATTTTCAACGACTTTTATTGCTGTTCGTTGCTTCCAACTCAGGAAAAAAAGTATTGAGATTGGACGCTACCTCGTATCAGAGCTCAGGTAGAACAGAGCAGCACCTTTGTTTATGACTACAAATGAGCACGAGCGGCAGTTCTGCGAGGAATTCGCACCTCACCCAGGGGGGACGAACGACAATGATGACCATGCCTGTGAACCTAATAACATCACAAAGCAAAATAAAATTATCGCAAAAATACTGCCCGTGAATAAATTTACAACTCTGAAATTTTTGTCATGACTCCTTCCTTCAGTGAATGGGTATTTTTTTCCTTGATTATTATGTTTTGCTCTGCAATACATGTTTATACAGATCGGTTCACAGACATGGGCATCATTGTCATTCGTCCTCCTGGCTGAGGTGCGAATTCCTCGCAGAGCTGCCGCTCGTGCTCATTTTCTGGTCATAAACAAAGGTGCTGGACAGTTCTATCTGAGCTTCGATACATGGTAGCTTACAATCCCAATACCTTTTTCCTGAATTGGAAACAACGAACAGCAGGAAAAGCCGTTGAGAATGCATAGCAGTACATCAAAATGTATGTTGCAGGAGTTTGAAACAAAAATGCCAAGGGATATTATTAAAAATGTCGAGGAACAAGTCAGTCGACGTCAGAGCAGGGTTTGGAGAAATTTATAGTGCTTCTAAAACTGAAAAGTATCTTTTAAAGAATAGCACGATAGGCAATCGGCTTCTGTTTTCAGAATTGGCAAACATTGAATTTACTTGTCACGAAAATTGAAACTGGTGTTTCCTTCTTCCTGATAGTAATTTATTTTTGAAATTCCAAAACAATTTCACAGCTGAATTTTGAACGACTTTTAGTTACGGACTTCTGCTCCAACGATTTTTTTGAAATTTCTCCGGCATATTTATTATATCAATTAAAGCCGATACCAGAAATTTCAGTAAAAAATATGAGCAAAATTTTTTACCAGACGCGATTTTCTTTAAACAGTAGGGTCCTTTTAAGAGTCAATTTTTCAAGAAATATTTCCCATCAATGAAATCGGAATAGTTCGTATTATAGCTTTCCCACGCACACGTTCCTACTAACTTTGCCGAAAGATATTACTCGGTAATTAGGTCATCAGAGAACTAGACTAGTATGAATAACCACATAACTCCGTCTAGGTATAATTTGTCCGGTTCGGCCCGACTTTTGTCGGACATAAAGTTGTTTTGGCTAACATTAAGTTGATATTTGGTTATTCAAGAACGGAAAGTGCTAAGAAGCTTTAGGCACGTCTATTCGCTCCGCATGCCTCGACCCAGTCCCAAACGTTCCATTACACGAACAATAGATTTTCCTCATTAACATTAAATTCAACCTTTCAACCGGGCCTTAAAGGCTGCAGCTGTATCACGAAATTTAGCCAAATTCAGCTTCTATAACCTACAATAGCTGCCACACTAAAGCAACCATAAAGCTAATCGCTTAAAACAATGATGAAAGGTTCAAATAACAGATGAAATAAGACAGAAAAACAAAAAAGGACACGGATGGTCAAAATTGAAGGAGTTTAAAACTTATTGAAATTGGGGTTTTTGAAAACCGTTCAGCAGCCTATTAAACAGTTTTTCGAAGTTTCTCTCTCATGTTTATAAGTGTATAAATATAAAGCGCTCGGCTTGCATAAATGTTTGTCACGAAGCTGTTGTTTTTGGAATTCACAAGTAATTCATTTGCAAGCGTTATTTAAGTTCCATAAGCGAGTTGGGGTAAAACTAAATAAAATCAACTAGAGTAAACGCCGTCCACAGAAACTCCGCAAGCATGCAAACAAAATTCCTCATATTTATTCATACTAACTGTCTCATTCTTATTCGAACCGAAAATTGCTTGAAGAACATTAAGGTTTGATCACTTAAAATGGAGTGATTTCAGAGGCATTGACGAAAACCATTAACGAAACCTTCTGCCACGAATATGTGCTTCATGTATAAACTGACCGATATTGTTTTGTTTTTCTTTGCTTTCTTGTTTATTTTCATAGTTAATTTACTTGTTTTAAGTTCTGAATTTAAAACACAAAGCTTAAAACTATTAGAACAAAAATATTTGAAAACTTCATTTCGTGTCCGTAAAGGGCTTTGGGTAATAATTTCAATCACAAACAACACGCAACTTGAATTATGTACCTATTTGCTGTGTAGATCATGTCAGTAAAATTAATGCCACTTAAGATGACATAAATAATGGATAAATAAACTTTATGTTGGAAAATTCTGTGTATGAACTCACATAACCTGTTACGAAGATAAATGAACTAACGTAGAGCCGTCGACTTAGCTCGTAGCAGTAGATATGATTTCTTTGCTACTATTCATTTGACTACAGAACACCCCGGTGGCCCATGGTCATTCCGCGCATTATGGATAAATCCCGAGATTAATATAAGAACCATTTTGCATTAAGAATAATATTTTCCCTTACTGGGGCTGACATATATTCTTAGACGAGAGAGTGATCTTCAATCAATGACTGAGGACAGGACCCATTCACAGTCACGATTCAATGTTTATTATTAGAAAAGGAGAACAGCTGCAAACTCTTATCCGTGCGTCGACACTTAATGAATTTGTCGTCATAGAACCATTAGCATTCCTGTTTATTAAATTTCCTTTTTTTAATTCATAATTTTTTCAATAAAACGTGAGGCCACTTCAAAGGTTTCCTCTAAATATCATTTCATAGTTACACCTTCATGACAAGACAAGTCCTGTCTTAAAAAGTATTTTGATTGATTCGGGTGCAACTTTGCCTGGTAAGTATTTTTTCTTCAAACACTGCCTTGGTTAAATCTTTAGAGGAACGTTTTGAGTCGGTCCTTTTAGTTGAAGCGAGATTGGGGTTTAACTTTAAACTGTTAAACTTTTGGCACAAACGTGGATTTAAAATGCAAATCCTGGGAGACAGTTTGCTTGAAGCAGAAACACAGCATTTACTAAGCAAAAACAGGTTTGATTCCTTCTTTCTCTTTTTTTCTTTTTTCTTTTACTCTTTTTCCTTTTTTATGGAAACATGGCGTTGTCGATGAAAAACCAGTCTTAGCGAACTTTTTCACCCTTTCCAAATGAAGCACTTTCCTGGCATTTTAAACAACATTTCAATGTTTTTGATGAGCTGCTTAAGCCAGTAGCAAGTCATGCCTTAAGACCTTTCTGCTGTTGGCTTGCGGTCAGAGAATAAAACTTACGTTGACAATGTCCTCAATTTTAGAATCAATAAGAATGAATTTCGAATTCTGAGTCTTGCAATCTTTCAAATGAAAGCTAGTGAATCGATTTTTTTTCTTTTTTTTTGGCATTTTTTGGTTTATTATATGGATCTAACTTTTGAGTTTCTGAACAAAGACTCAACAAAATCTTATACAGTGACATTCAAATCAACCTTTATTGATGAGCCTTTCGGTTACCTTTTAAACTTGCATTACTTTTTAACACTACCTCAGTAAAATTAATTCTAGATTACTGAGGTAAATTATCAGTAGCTATAGAAGAAAGAAACAAAATTAAACGACACAAATAAACTGTCAACTGTCAGGAAAGTAATAACAAACGAAACAGCTTAAAGCTTGTCATAATCCTTGGAAATTATCATTACACTTTTTACAAGTTCCCATATTTCGCAAAAAAAGAGTATCCTCGAAGATAAAATATTGGGAAATCAACATCATGCAACATTATAATGTTACCATGTTTAATTATTACTCCGTTTAAGTTAGCTTTGACGCACGATGTATGTTAGCGAAGAAAGCTAACAGTTTTTTAATGAAAATAAATGTTACCTATGGATGTTGACGCCCACCAAAGGTCCTCTCGTATGGCACGTTCGCAGAACGGATGTTTTACCTCGCTACATTTTTTTTATCCGTGTACACAAGTTTATGTAACGGTCCTCTTATGTATGACTTCCATCACCGAATACGTTTTCAATATTGGAAAGATTAAGGAAGTGCTAGATTAGGCAACATACCACATGTTAACATGGAAGTGTGTTCTGTATTGAGCTTTGAAAATTAAATATACATCCGGCATAGGAAACAATTCATTAATTTATCAAAAGAATACTGTGAAGCAAGTAAAGAAGTGAAACAGAATGAAATAGCTTTCATGTAATATTTGTAGTCATTCTCGATATTAATTATAAGCGAAAGCTCGTATATTTTTTACTCTACCCTGTAAATTGCCGGTTTAATTTTTTTACCTGAATACCGTATAGAATCAGTAAAGGAAATTTGTTTATTCTGTTATGAGAACAACTGATAAATAGAATTAAACCGGCAAATTAAACAAACAAAACAAGCCTTCTTGCAA